TGGACGCTGTGTCTACTCTGGTCCATTTTATGTGCAAGTCATTGAACAGCTCTGCCAAATCTGTTCGTTGCGTTTTTCTCCATTATTCGTCTGCTTTTGATTCTATGTCCCGGTCATCCGTCCTTTCAAAGCTTGAATCTTTTGGCACCCCGAGACAGCTACTTTCGTGGCTTTCTGATTATTTCACCGAAAGAACCCAGTGCACAAAGCTGGGCAGGAATACCTTAAGTCCTTTAGTCAATGATTCTGGTGTGATTTAAGGTACTGTTCTCTCGCCGTATCTTTTCTCTGCTTACATCAGTGATCTTTCAGTTACACATATTGCTCATACCCAAAAGTATGCTGACAATGTCACTTTATGTCAAACCGTTTCTTCTTCTTCTTCAGAGTTTTCTTCCTTCACTGAAAATCTGTCCCGAACCGAACAGTTTACAAACCAGTTTGGCCTTAATCTGAACACATCCGAGTGCTTGGAGTCCATTTTAAGTTCTTCCCGCTCTATATTCCCATCAGACTCTGTGACCCTTAATAGTAACCTCTTGCCCAGAGTGACCTCAACCAAATATCTGGTTGTTGCTATCGCTAATAAGCTTCGGTGGTCGAGACACTTTCAGAATTGTATGGGAAAACTTCGGCGCTTCTCCTTTCAGCTTCGGAAACCAGACAATTTCATACTCCCCAACAAGTTTTGATCTCCTTTCTTAATAAACGCGTTCTCTACATTTTACTTTATTGATCCCCTGTAGTGTTTCCTGGTCTATTGAAACAAGACTTTAAAGCTGTCCGTCGTGGATTAATGATAACAAACCGTGCATCTTTAATTTCTCCCGAGTCATTAATCACAAAACTTATTAATGGTCATATGAAGTCTTGTATGGCCTTTGCCAATAAGATTATAAAAGACCCCTTCCATCCTTTGCATTTGGACTTATCTTCTTGTCGCTCCCACTCGATCACTCGTTCCCCTTATCGGTATCTACCCTCTCGAATAAAAATTTATAAGAACCCCTCTGCACTATAGCCGGTTTGAATCTTGATCGACAAGGAACGAGTTATAAATGAATCACGTCAATCTTTAATTGAATGAATCGAACTTTGGAGACATTTTTACATATCACTCTGTTAGATTTGTCTATATTTCTATATTTTCTCCGAAATGACGCCCAATGTACAATTTTTAACTGAAATGTAAGCATATAAAGATTGCAGATGTTATACAAATACAAAAGAAGTGATCCATGAATGGATCAGCTATTTCTGATTACCAACGTCGAGATCTCCCATGATGGTAAACTTGGCAGTTGTAGTCCAGCGCAAACAAGTGTTCAATGTTTGAAGGTAAAAAATCAACGATGGAGGAGTCACCACTAATAGGAAAAACCATATAGATCACAAAAGTAGTGGTTGAAAGAAGGAAGTTGGAGCTTCAGCCACATCAGCAGAAATTCACCTGTGAAAAATTTAAGATTTAGAATTCTGGAAGCGGTGACTAATTGGTAGATGAAGGCGCAAACACCAGCTATGAGTAGAAAGGAAGATTGGAAGGTGTTGTTAAGGGCTTGAACGTGGGTGGTGTCTGAAGAGGGAGATTGGTATTTTGGTTGAAAATATGGCGCGAGGAGAAGAGGAATGGACAAATCGGTGTAGAGAATCAATGTTGGGCTTCAATCCGCGAATGTTGGTGACGGTGATGATTGCATGTCGTCTTGTGAATAAGTGGAGCAAGCGAGAGCTCGAAAGCCTGTCCAATTTTATATTGCCATGTTCGTTTTGTGAGGAGGAAACCGGAAACTGTGATCCTAAGACTTACAGTGGCGGACCACATATGGTAGTGAGCTGGATGTCGGAGGAGGAGCCGTCTACCACTTGTAGCGTTGATGCAAAGTATATCTGTGGCTCCGTAATAGAGTAAATCGAGACTCACCAGAGAGAGGGTGCTAATTAATCAGTGATATCAAGAATCCATCGATGGATTAAATATGCTGGAAAAATCGGTGATAGCTAATGCTAGATGAGTATCGATCACTATGAACCGCATACAACGGCACCATTTGATCAGACAACCAATAGAATCGGAGCGCATAAATGAATGCACAGTAGCGTGCGGCAGAGAACGAGTTATTGTTTTCAAAAATTCTGACAAGTCAGTGGAGTAAATGAAGTATCTGAACCGTAGTCAGGTCCTCAGGGGAATGTTGTGTCTTCTTAAAAGTTTGCGAACTGACACAGTAGGAAAAAGTTCTGTTAGCAGAAGACCGTTCGAGAATCTGAAATAACTCATGATTTTTCCCATAGGCCTGATTATAGCGGGTACGGAAATATAACAGTTTCACTAAACCTCGCGCGGTCTGTTTTGAAGAATATATCAGAGCGGTTAGGTTCACTAACCAAAATACACAAATGTTTATCAAACAAGTGATGAACGACGATGGAAGATTATCAATCATTTTTCTTACAAAACAACATAAAATAAAACGTAATCCAGTGAGAAAAAGGGAGGGCACTAGTGATAAGCAAAACTTTTGTACTTGCAAAAAGAAACAGCTAGGGTGTTTTACAAAGTAAACAAAATCACCACCTTTCTCGTGGAAACTTGCGGTCCGATCGCTCCAGAAAATATGGAATCCTTCAAGTCACTCTCGAGGTCTGAGTGTGAACATTCTTGAGGCATAATACTCCTAATTTTTTATCTTGTTTGGGACGCACCAACTTTTTGAAATCATCAAATTTTCCCATGGGTGAGCGAAAGATACAGTAAGAAATACAAGGCAGCATTATTCAGTTGATGAAACCACCTCAGAACATCGGGATAGCCAGTACGATGCATATGCACATATCATTGACTTATATTCATCCATCGTTTGTGGCTATTCGTCATGGAAAGTGGGTGGTGGTCACGCAGTTGCTGCTGTGTTTTGGGCCCGCCATAGCTCGACCCAACTTTGATGGTACACCGCTTTGCTGATGCCTGTATCAATACCTCGCTATTCTCTTCAGACCGCTCCAATGACTTAGCGAACCAGGTGCTCGTGACTATGGAGTTTACCTCTTCTACTGTTTGCCACACAACAATAAAAAAGCGAAGATTGCGTAGGGACACAAAAAGAGGCGGATGTTTCAAAACGATTGGAATATTAGCCAGATCTCAATGCATTGATACAGAAGTACAGACAAATTGCGGTGGAGTAATTATTTGGAAATGAATTCGTAAAACGTGGTCCAATCTGGCAAGTGAATCTCTTTTTTGAGACAATGCAACTCTGTTTATTCATATCTTTCCGTGTCCCATGAAGAAGAAATCAACGATTCTTTAGCATTTTTGGATATTACAATTTAGAGACCCTTAGATGGTACATTACAGTTTTCTGTACACAGAAAAGCAACATGGAGTGGTCAATGTCTACAGTGATCTGGCTTACAAACGTGTACTCGTAAAAACTCTGTTCCATCGAGCCAGAAGCATTTGTTCCTCAGACACTACTAGAAGAAGAATTTCTGAAGAAAACGTAGATGCGGGGGGTGCTGGTTCGGTGGTAACGTTACCAAATTATCGCCCCGGGGATGTGTTCGAATCCCACCACCACCGCCTGACTTTTCCCATTGTGTGTTGAATGGCAGCCCTTTGATTGGCCGCTTCCCCCTTTCTGAAAATTGTACCATTGCATATTCGATAAAAGGAAGTAAAATAAAAAGATAAATGTACGAAACGGTTACCTCAAAAGATTCCTTGATATTCATAGTAAACAATCTCATAAAGGTAACCCATCACCAACTGTTCCTCAGAAAGCCGTTCACATCAAACTATCTTTTAAGGGCGATCAACTTCTGAACGATATGCGCCAAAAGTTAAAGTCAGCTCTCAACCGCACATTCCCAGCAGCTCAACTCCGATTTATCACCTCTACTCGTGGAATCGATTTGGACAAACGTGTACATGGATGGCAATCCAGTTCTCACACACTGTATACCAGTTCACCTGCAGTTACGGTGACGCGTACATGGGCAAAACCCATCGTCAATTATCACTGCGGCTGGCCGAACACATTCTAAAGTAGTTGGTGTAGTCGGTGACGCANCGCAACCCACGCACAGTAATCAGGCGGTCACACGTAACCTGGGGTCTGCAATTGCAAAACACGTCATGACAACCAAACACATAATTGATCCCACTTCCTCTTTCAAACCGTTCTTACGTAACTGCAATACAAAACTGTTGGCAATAAGTGAGGCGTTATTAATCCGCTTACATAATCCCGTTCTGCGCGCCCAAAAGTTGTTGATTCAATCAGTTCACTTGCCGTGGAGTTGACCTATTTTTTAATTCTAATAGCCCCTGTCTAACTGTACATATCCGTTCACTCGGATTTACAAATCCAGTGTGCTATAAATGTGCTTGTTTGTTTCACGGCAGCGATTGAGAAGATTAAACGAAATGTTAACATCTCGAGATATGTCTTCTTTCGGTCTTCATACGATGGACAAAGAGGACCCAGTGTTTCAAATCTTTATTATTATTTATTATGGAACATATTTTCATGTTACCAGGGTAGATTCACTGGGATCTACAAATTCACAGTTGTCATGGCAACTAGGGGTCACCAATCCTTTTCTTTTCAGTACCAGGATTTATGGTATTCCTTGGGATCACCTTTACTCCTGTCTATTTTGTATGTTTTCCATTCGGTCACGGAATCGGTCCAACGAATGCGTCCCAAATGCACACATTTTTTGCACTAATTTATTTCGATCACGATTGCATAATTGGCCTCATCTTTCTTCCCGGGCATGCCAGGGATCTCACGGAGCGAACAAATTTTTACAACCCCTCATAAGTGCATGTATTTCTCTCCCAGGAAGATTTTACCTGATGTTGACGCTTCCCGTCTGCTATACATATATTTTTTCTCACGAAACGGTGTTTTTGTTTTCAGAGACCGTTGTTTCACTGCGTCCCTCATCATCCTGTCATTGTTTTCTTTCTTTTTTCTCGTTCTTTTTAGGGCTGTACCAATGTGGGTTGAGGAGAACAAAAATTACAACTACGACACGAACACATGCAATGCTACCGCTTGCGGTCATTACACTCAAGTAATTTTCAAGTTTTTCATTTGTCTGATAGATGCTGCACAATTGGGCACATTGTTTATATTGAACACTATATACTTGTGTGCATTGATTTTTATTGAGAGAGCTATATGATTTTGATGCAAAAACCATCGAATACAGAGCAAATTTTAAAATAGGAATCCATCCAATCCTCAATCGAGTGGATGCAGAACCATCAGATTATTTAGTTTAAACAACTGAAGGATGCAGCTCATCTATTAGTCTGAAGATAAGATGTGGTGATCACAGGTCTACCAGTCCCGGCCTCGGAAGTCACCTGTTCAGTAGACTGTCTGGCATTACGATCAAGGAGAGAATACGTGATCAGTGCTTTCAAAGTTTTTCAATCATAAAAACAATATGTTGATTGGATAATCACTTTATTTCACTTTTTCCTTGATACCGATTTGTTAAATTTCCATTTCAAAGATTTAATCCAACTGCTCGTTCCTCGGTTATGTGCTTTCATCTCAGGTTGTATGGGCCGCATCAACCGATATCGGATGCGGTGTGACAGATTGCAAATCTAATCCTAGTTATGCATACGGGCTATCCATTGTATGCAACTACGGTCCTGGGTAAGTGGACATTGGCACTGAATATCTTGCGATTGAGTAGGGGGCAAGCTCATGCAATAATCCGTATGTTTGTCTGTTCATGCTGGTGGAAGTAGGCCCTTCTTATCCACGCTAGGTAACATCATCAGGACGATTTCGACCAAGTCCTCAATGTGACCTGGAGTATACAGTCATGTTCGAAGGTTTTGATTGGCTTTATGCTTTCCCTTAATGCTTTAATCAACCCCGTCTTCTAGATGCGAGTTGATTGGCTGGTTTGTTGTTATGGTGATCTGTCGTTTCTTATTTTGGTTGCTTTTTTGTCTCACCACATTTTCAAACCTGTTTGAACTGGTTTCAAATTGGCTAGAACCGTTTCTGAACTATTTATGGATGGGATAGTTTTAGGTCACCGATACTTCCTTAGATAGGGTATTTGGGTTCTACAGGCCTGTATATACTAACGCAATTGAAGTGCGACGCTTCGATAAAGTCCCGTGTTGACTTTGGGGTTCCTCTGTCTATTTGGAAAATGTGATCCTCAGCATCCATGTAAATTTGCAATTTCTGCTCATATCTTCTCATCACTTTTGTTCAAGTAGTCGTGGCTTCGGTTGTCGACTGGTTTGTCCGTCATAGTATATCTCGCAGTTTCGACATTTTAATTTGTATCCAATGTCTCAGGGGTCTTGTATTGACAAGTCGCCTTTTTGTTTATGTCGGAAAAAGCAAACACAAACTGAAAACACGACTACTCGAACACACTACCGGTATGTATGTATGTATGTATGTATGTATGTATGTATGTATGCATGTATGTATGTATGTATGTATGTATGTATGTATGTATGTATGTATGTATGTATGTATGTATCCGCAGAAGAGGTCACTGTTTCAGAGCAAATAGATTCCTTCTTCTTTGTGGATCCAGGTTATTGAATTTATTCTTGAAATTGGAATATCTGTCGTGCCTTATTGCTGTTGGTACTCTTGTTCTAATTACATCGTAAATGAGAGTAGCATGACTTTTTCGTTTTTATGTAGCGGTTTAAGATACAAGAGCAAGGTGAAAAAATTCGAAACTGACCACTGAAAGGCTTCAGCTGTTATGCCCCTTTGAATTTTGAAGTCATTTTGCATGTTATATTTATTCTTCTTAATACGCTTAGGGATATCGACTCATATGATACGATTTATATTCTGGAAATGAAAGTAATAAATTCCTCTCTTCAACTTTTTTTAATTATTGTACCGAAGTTCCCAATTACAATTTCAAGTGGCTTCATCTGTTTTGGGATTTATTTGTGACGCTTTTATAGAATACTTCAAGTAGTTTCCAATATTCTCATGGAAATAGCGAGATCAGCAAATGCAACGGGTATGCAAGCTGATGGATTTGACATTTTTTGGGGGACTAGAAGCGCGTATTTCGGGGTTCTACTTGTTTCAGATTAACACACTCAACCATTAATGGCATAAGCACATAAATTTCATTGATCACGGATAGTATTTTACCCGTAGCTCATGAAAATTCACCTCTACCAGAATTCGGGTATTGTGAATGGCTGTTTGCATTTAGGTGTGGTTGGTTAACACTCGTCAGTAGTTTGTTGATTCCACCCAATAGATGATGATAATCGGACAATAACCGGACTCCTGGACTGACCTAAAAGGTTTTGAGAAGTGTTCTGGGTGTCACCATCAGGATTTTCTTGAAATCAAATGCGATATCCATAATTATTTATTCTCATTTATTTCCGTCTAATACGGGTGGAAATACTGAGCAAATGGCGGTGGTGGCCCGGTGGTAACATCACCAATTATCACCCCGGAGGACGAGTGTTCGAATCCCACCACCACCGCCTGACTTTCCCCATTTGTGTCGTATGGCAGCCCTTTGATTGACCGCTTCCCGTTCCTGAAAATTGTATCTTTGTGTAGTCAATAAAAGGAAGTAAAATGAAAAAGAAAATAAAAAAATCTAAACTATATCGCAATAAATTTGGACCATAAATTAACGTTCGGTTTAGTTGGATTGTTTCACAGAAGATTTTTTATTCTATTCAGGTACTATAAAAGTTCATTTATTTGGTTTTCATAGTGGTAATTACGCTGGACAAAAACCGTACACCAAGGGGAATCAAAGCGTCTGTCTGGTGTCGAAAAATTCCACGGCTGCCATTTTGAGCGCTGCCGCGCCGGCCGTTACATCCGTGGCCTTCACAATGATGGTTCATTGAACACGGAACGTGCAGATAGCAAGTTCTTCGGGTTGCTTGCGGCCTGAATTGCATTATGCGTAGCTGAACTGCTTGTGATCGTGATTGATGGTGCCCATAAAACTTTAGCAAGTCCAGTCGAAATTTGACCTCCTAATGGATGTATAATTGGAATCGAATTTGGCGGAAAATAAATATGTTCATTTTTATCCCTCCTGTGCCTTTGTTTTACATTTTGTTCCTAATCCTAGAGCTGGTTCATCGGATGAGTTATTATTATGATTATTACTAGATGTCAAGTTGGATATTGGAAAGTCATCAGTTGCCGATCGAGAGCTGATGAAAAATACCGTACCTTTCAAATTAACCCGTATCAATTTGCTTTTTATCGGGCCGTAACTATTTGAGAACCAGGAAACCGAATTGTCAGTCAATCAGGAAAAGTCGTAGGTATTCAACATTTGGATTGGTATGCCAAGTGAGCGTTTATGATTGAGTCACCATAGAGCATGAATTCTTTGATTCCAGTTACATACAATGTGTAGCCTCAAAACGTCAGTACAAATTCTCAGCCGAATACCGATT